TTTAATTACCTCCCTTATTTTACCCCCTTTTCCCACCTCCTCGTCCTTCCCTCTTCCCTTTCCTCCCCTTCTCCCCTTCATCCGGAGTCCGGAGTCCCCGAAACCCGAAAAAAGGACGAAAAAACCGACCTGCAATCGGGGAGAAAATTTCCACTCTCCTTCGGCCGAGAATCTGCAGCATGTAAACACAAGATACTGCAAGGGGGATACGGGTGCAAAGAAGAAATAATAAAAAAAAGAGGTGGCGTATTTTGGTGAACGACCTATCGCACCTTTATTTTGGGGGAATAATGGGTTTAATTATTACTTTTATGGCTTTGGGCGGGTTTGTGTCTGTTGTAATGGGGTGCGAGTAATTCTGGGGAGGTATTGGAGGGATGTGCATAGCGCGAGTTACTTTGCATTCGTAGCCCGTAAGCGTTTCGCGGTCTGTTCTATTGTTAATATTTGTATGATATTTAACTGACATTACAACAAGAAGTTGAATAAGCAAATAAGTTTATACTTCTTGTAATATACTTCAATGCAACCTACTCTTTTTCTGAAAACCTTTCAAATGGCGGGAAATGAAAAAAATACAAACCAAAAAAGTCATGCACGAAATCAAAACTCACTTCCACTCCAATAAATAAATATATATATAATATATATATATATATAAATAAATAAATGAAATAAATATGAAATGTCGTCATCATACCAACTCCAGATTCGTAAAAAAGTCAATAATAAATGGCTAAAACAATAATTAATTCAAATTACTGTTACTATTATCAATATTAATGCTGACCATGATGAATACGCAAATGGTGGTGACGATACAGTTTGATGATGATGATGATGATGATGATGATGATAAAGGTAAAGATAAGACAAAAGATGAAGATGAAGATGATAATGATGATGGCAATATATATATATATATATATATATATATATATATATATATATATATATATATATATATATTATATATATATATATATTTATATATATATATCTATATATTATATATATATATATATATATATATTAATATATATATTATATATATATTTATATATATATATATATATATATATATATATATATATATATATATATATATATATATATATATATATATATATATATATATACTTATATACATATATATACTTACACACCCACTCTCACCTACACATGAAAAAACACTCTTAGCAAAAATGTCTTCTACATTTTCCTAACTAGATGTAAAATGGATATTTCATGTCAGAAAAACAAAAACAAAAAACAATTATAGTGTATTAGAACAACATGAAAATAAAACCATAATCAAGAATATAATTTCTATTAAAGCTTTTGCTGTGACACGAATACATGTTTTAACCCTATGCACCCAGAAAAATGTACTGTTCAATGTAGTATTGTTTTGTGAAATGTCTCTACATATAGATGGTCTCACAAGGGTTTAGCCACAATGGAGTCAATTACAAGACCTTTCTTCGAGTTTTTAGGAAAAATGGGTTTGGTAATAATGATATCAATATCAATGCTGTTATCATTACAATGGAAATTATAATCACCATAATAATAATGATAATACCAACTGATAAAAGAATACATTTTAGAGAATCGAGGAAAAGGTTACAGGTGAGATAGGCAGTACTAGTAATTGGCTCATTGGTGACATAGTACTTGTGGAATCATCTATGTATCAAGACAACTAATAAACTAAACTCGTAGTGGGTGTGGCAGGTACATACAACCCATGTGGAAAGGTATGAATGAGAATGAACATCTTCACAATACAAGAGCAAGTTCCGATTATGTTAGAAAAGCTGACGAAGATAAAATTGAAACCGGTAAAATACACCTCTTATATTGTGAAGATATTCGTTCTCATTCATACCTTTTCACATCTGTCAACATGAATACGGTTCATTACACATACAAGACATCCCAGGCGGCATCTGATTAACATCATCAATTGCGGTTCTAATATGTACTGAAATTTCATGAAAGCTATGTGCAGAAACGGAAAGAAAGGAATGTGTATACATATATGTATCTATGTATAAGATGAATATTAAAATATGAATATTGTATATAAAATGTGAATTTTTAAAACCACACGTGGAAAAGATAACAGGAAGCTTTAAAATTTCACTCAGCTCGTGTACATGCAAATAATCTGTGGAAAAGAACTAAATCACATGTAGTTTGTAAATCTGTCAATAATATGTACTTGTCATACCCATTATGCATCAAAATGTATTTCTGAAGCTGAAAACTCTTTTCGAAAGCACGAAGATTATTACAAACTAAACAGTAAACATTCTTTTTTGTAATAAAACGTATGTTAATTGGTGATAATAATGTTAATCATATTTAATGTGTTAATTCAATAGCCAACAAAATTATTGATTTCTTGCTCTACTTACCAGATACTCCTCTGTCTGTGTTATGAATGGAAGCAGCTAATTAGTGCTTGCGTGTTGTTCAAAACTGTTATGTTACTCATCGAGCAATTCATGAGCTTGCAATAGATTTCGTTCTTGTTCTTCTTTTATCCATGAAGAAAATCCACAAATCTTGATTCATTTTCTGAATTCTCAAAAATGACTGGAATTTCAACAATGTGGGTGCTTATCAAATCAAACATTATATATCACATAATTTTTTTTCCAGTTGCATTACTCCCACGGCTATTTTCAATATATTTTCCATTTATTTCTTTCAGCATTTATAAGACCCAAATCTAGGACACAGTCTCGAGCATAATACGCATGAAGACACAGATATAGCCATACTATTACAATGTTCTTTACAAAATTATCTCACAACCACTACCTCACACTTATGTTAAAAACTACCAATTGAAAAAAAAAAAAAAAAAGACTTAAATAATAGTTTCAATAACCACAAGAATCAGTCAATGCATACCTCCATTTCCTCCAGAACCTGAAGTTGATAATAATTTGAGGAGACGGGAATCTTTACAATGGTATACATTCTCAATCATTTCCTGTAAAATGTTAATGTAAAAGTATGGTGAGAAACACTGTTTTGAGGTATTTAAAAGCAAGATTAAAATTAGTAATCATACTTAGCAACCTTTGTGACGGATTAGCTCTATATATCAAAAGAGAAAGAAAAGCCTTTCTAAATCGAAAGCACTGAATTTTTGTGTTAATTGTATTCAACTTAATACTATCCCATGGAGAATGATTTTTCTTTTTATATCCTATGGCACACAGATTTCACAAAAAATCACAATTCTTAAAATTCTAATAGACATTCAAGGTATTTTTTGGTGAAAAAATAAAAAGGAGAAGGTCTTAAAGGTAAAAGGTCAACACCAAGTGACAGGGAAAAGGGGCAGTGCACACGCCATAGTGCATACTACGTCATCGTGTAACACAGCCCAACACCCTCTTCACCCGCTGATGGCACAAGTCATCTTTAGTCATGGCTGCGGTGAGCATAGCGACCATAAAGGGTGACCAAACCTCCTTATCACAGGGAAAATAACATCTGGCAATGGTGGGGACTTTCTCATACTCTGAGCCAAGCACGGACACAGGTTATCTGAGTGGAAAATTTGTGGAAGAAATAGCTAGATGAATAATAATAATAAAAAAAATAAAAAAAAGTTCTAGACATGCTATCGTTTACTCCAATTCCTGAGTTGTGCCTCACACTTCATAGGTTAATAAAGCTAACTGTAGTGTTTAAAAATTTTCATGCATTTTGCTAATATGAATTATCAGTGTTTTGATAAGTTACAAGGTTTTCATTCATGTTATAATTAATACGTAAAGCATCACCAATGTTTACCTAATGTCTACTGTTTGTTGGAAAATGAAAAGAACTTAATACTATATAGCTGATTTTGGAAGACATGGTACTTTTTCTTTTGTAACTGTTTTTATATTAGAAGAAATATAATTTTCAGTTATACATATATTAATCATAATTTTGTAAAAACATGCAAAAAGAGTGAAGACAGCATTTTTGAAATTCAAAGCAAGAAGATATAAAATATCAACTTTCACTTGCTCACACACTTCTATTATCATTCCCAGCAGTACCCGACTGTGATGAGCGCTAGAAAAATAACTCTTTAATGTTGGATTTCATATTCCTGTCTTATCAAAATTTCTAACATAGCACTTAACCGGCACAACTTTAAAAGACTAATTAGTGTAACTTCTGTACGCTAAATACACTCCTGCAAAGTTACTCTTTCTTGAAGTGTGAAACCTAACTGAGCTTGGAAAACATTCATCCAACATACTTTATATTTTCTCTGACTTTTGATATATAAAACTCAGAGCCTTATACTTTGCTTGCACGAAAACCTCGCAGCTAACGAAGAAAATTTCAAAGAACTGACTGAAACTGTAGGTCGCCAATCTAGGCTGGTATAAGTAAAAATGTTATTCTTTTCTTTTTTGATTACGACATTCATACCTGTAGCAAAAAACTTTATGGAACCAAACCTACATGATAAGGCTATGATAAAATGTAATTAGTAAAATAAAGGCGTGTATACCTTCATAAAACGCAAACAAAATTGTGAGCAGTGTTAGTGGCAATAAATGGGGGAGGGACTCGGGTTATAACTCGGAAAAGGGTATATCGTCTGAAAAACTTGGGAATCACCGATTTATAGCTTCCTAATTTACCATCTAAATATTTCTCTATGGTCACAGAAGTACCTATATCTGTAAATGTTAATGTACAAACATATCCCCATAAAAAAAGAAAGAAAGAAAAGAAAAAAAAATCATATAGAAACCAAACACCCTTTTACAGTAAATAACTAAGTAAGCAAAAGATTGAAGTGTGTCAATCAAGTTGGTAGTTTAAATCTAAAAATTACTTGATTAAATTTTATATCAAATACAAACATTTCTCTCCTATATTTTTCCTTTACCTACTATCTATTCTCAGTTTATGAACTCGGTTTATGCACATACTCTTTTTTTTTTCTTTTTTTCTAGGAAAAAAGTTTATAATATGGATGAAAATTTATTGTCAAGCACACCGTCTCTTTACAAAATAAATACAATACATTGTATCCTTAAACAATGAAAACTAGGAACAAAATATCTTGATTCTGAAAATGGGATAAGTTTATTCTAATAATATTATTCATATGTGACAATACATACAGTAATGATACATAAAAGTCCCCGAAAATCAGCAACATCCTCTAAAACATTCACAATGGAAAATAAGGTAAAATGAGAATTTGCTAATCACCATTCATCACAATATAACACTTTGTATTTTCTTTTACCCTCTCTCTCACATACACATCTCACATCGCTCTCACTATCTCTCATCTCTCCTTCTCAACTCCTATTTCTACTCCGATCTCTTCTGTCTCTACTCCGATCCCTTCTCTCCCTGCTTCTGTCTCGGCTTCTATCCTTTCTCTCTCTGCTTCTGTCTCGGCTTCTATCCTTTCTCTCCCTGCTTCTGTCTCGGCTTCTATCCTTTCTCTCCCTGCTTCTGTCTCGGCTTCTATCTCTTCTGTCTCTGTTCCTATCTCTGCTCCTATCCCTTCTGTCTCTACTTCTGTCTCTGCTTCTATCTCTGCTCCTATCCTTTCTTTCTCTGTTCCTGTCTTTGCTTCTGTCTCTTATCTCCCTACTATTCTTATCACGCGCCTTGTCTCTCCTCTCCTTGCTCCTCTCTCTCCGTTCCTCTTGGTTCCTCTCTTTCGCCTTACTTGGTCCGGGGCTTTCTTCCCTCCTTTCCACCTTGACGTCCCTCTCCTCCCCTTTGCCTCTGCTCTCAGCCCCCCCTGCTTTACCCCAGAAGTCCCAGGCTCTCTCCCTTCTCCCTCCCCCTGGGAATTCCTTCTCGCCACTTGGCTCTCTCCCGCCAGACTTCTCTTCGTGGTGGGATGTGCTTCCGTTTCTCCTGTCCTTATGGTGGTGTCCGTTGGTCTTGTCCTTCCTCTCTTCTTCTTCGTCGTCGGAGGTCTTTTCCTTCTTCACCTTGACCTCGGACATGTCGAATGGGTCATTGGGGCCAATGAAGTCGACTTTCAAGCCCTTGGTTATCTCCTTGAGCAAGGCCTGCGGGTCAGCCTTCTCCTCCGAGCGTCGTTTCTTTTTCTTCGTCTTTTCCTTCTCCTCCTCCGAGTCCTCTGAGTCAGAACTGCTGGAGCTGCTCCGACTCTTCCTCTTCTTCTTGCTCTCCTTCTTCTTCTTCTCCCTTTTCTTCTTCCTTTTCTTCTTCTTCTCTCTTTCATCCTCTGAGCTCGATGAATCCTCACTCGACGAAGATTCTACTTTGCTTTTCTTCTTGTTCTTCTTTTTCTTTTTGCTCTTCTTTTCCAATTTCTCGAGCTTCTTCAGCAACTTTTTCTTTTCTTTGGTGGATAAGGACCTCAGGAGCGAGTATTCATCCACAGCTTCTTCGTCACTTGAGAGAATTCTCTGAAATCCAGAACATTATGTTTCTGAATAGACAGTAATACTCTGACAATTATCAAAACAAAACAACAAATAAAATTGCATTTTATAATAGCTAGCAAGCAGCATGTAAGTGATTCTGCATCTCTATTAGCAAATGTATACCAACAAACAATATCTAAATATATCAATATCTACATGTGTGTGTGTGTGTGTGTGTGTGTGTGTGTATGTGTGTATGTGTGTGTATGTGTGTGTATGTGTGTGTGTGTGTGTGTGTGTGTGTTGTGTGTGTGTGTGTGTGTGTGTGTGTGTGTGTGTGTGTGTGTGTGTGTGTGTGTGTGTGTGTGTGTATGTGTGTGTGTATGTGTGTGTGTGTGTGTGTGTGTATGTGTGTGTGTGTGTGTGTGTGTGTGTGTTGTGTGTGTGTGTGTGTTGTGTGTGTGTGTGTGTGTGTGTGTGTGTGTGTGTGTGTGTGTGTGTTATACATATTATATATATATAATATATATATATATATATATATATATTAATATATATATATATATATATATATATATATATATGCATATATATATATGTATATATATATATATTATATATGTATATATATGTATATGTATATATATGTATATGTATATGTATATGTATATGTATATATATATATATATATATATATATATATATATATATATATATATATATAGTCTATGTCTATATACATGTAAGTCTATGTATATGTATGTTTATGTATATGTAAGTCTATGCATGTATGTCTGTCTATGTTTATATATAATTCAATTTTTTCCCATGGAAACACCTCTACAGATTAACAATCTTCTTTAAAGATAAAAATTCCATATTACATTTCTAGCAAAAAAGAAAGAAAGAACTAAAAGAACAAGAAAGAAACAAGAAAAAAAGGAAAAGAAAAAAGGCAAAAAATGGGGGAAAATATTGTTGACCCTTAAAATCCTTCTCATAATTATCAAAATCTCCCTTCATATCCCCCCTACATTCTTAATATTCACCCTCCTCCTTCTCCTCGTCCTCACCTGGTTTCCAGCATAAGGATTTTGTGCCAAACCGTAAATTCCGTTGGACATAGTGGCCACGTTCTTCAGCCTAAGCCCATCATCCCTCATCCCAGCGGCCAGTTCCTTGTGGTCGATGTTTCCCATGCCATCCGTGGGTTCCAAGACTCGGCCGTACAGAGGGCACTCCTTGTCTGTGTTTATGTGGCCCCATGCCTTACATTTGATGCACCTTACATTCCGCACAGCAATGCCAAAGGGCTGGTCCCTGATCGTGTCGTCATCTTTGCAATAGCTGTGGCCAAGAGAGATTATATTAGTGATTAGGTAAAATAAAATAGAAAATAAGTATAGTAGTATTCAGAACCTGACTAAAGGCAAAAAAGAAAAGAAAAAAGGCACAAGGTGAAAATAGCATCAACTATAACTATTTCCATCAAATCTTTAAAAACAATTCCACTTGAATCCTGTGCAGTCAGAGACAAAGTCATCTATTGTGAATGCAGCTTCAAAACCTTTATTTAACTAACAAGGGTTGCATATTTTAGCTACTTGAAGCAAAATTCAAAACTATTTTACAATATTTTCATTCACAACTTCATAATATACACCCTCTCTCAGGATAAGACCTACCTCTCACGTGGTGCATTGAACTTCCTCTGCCATTCGAACTTGTACTCTGGCTCTCCGTCTTCTTTCTCCCTCTCCTTTTTCACACCCGCAGGTGCTTCGTACATGAAGTTGAGGGAGAGCTTCTCCTTGTTCTCACCCCTTGCCAAAAGGGCTTTGTTGTTGTATAGTTCCTGTTCTTTCTCATACTGAACACGCAGTTCCTCCTGCTTCTTCCGTTCTGCATCGGCTTTCTGTTCCGCTATCCAGACCTGTTGAGTTGGTTTTCAGTTAGAATACGAGTAAACAAGATTTTGAGATCAACTACTCAATATGAGATATTTTTTCCATGTTATTATAACCGAACTTTGTTGTTCATTTATGAAGGTTGACTTACACAGCTACTGGATATGCAAATATACATCCAGTTCAATGAATGGAAAGCTTTCAGATTTACTAAAACCAAATTTCTTTGGATCTCTGTTATCAAAATTCTTTGATCATCTTCACCTAATACAGTATACAGAAATACTACACCTTGACTTCCATATAATCATAACTGTAGCAATTAAGTCCTATACAATAACTGGAAATGCTTTAACTGGAATTACAAATGCAGAAAGTAAATTGATTCTTAGAGTCCATACTGCGAAGAATTTTTGCTAATATTCATATAAAGTAATAACAGTATCCATAATGAATTTAGTTTTATTTGATATGTAGCTATTTTTTCTCACTCTATGGTTAACAAAGCTGGAAGATACTATTTATGTCACATTAACCTTCCAATATCTATCCTTTACATAACCCTTATCAAAATATGTGCACTGATTTCAATATGGGATTTTGAAGCATCATGCTGTCAATTCTGCTGAAGGTGACTTTAATACTTGCTTTGATACAATTTGATATCTAACCAGTCAGTGAGGATTAGATTCTAGTTCTATAGTAATTCTAAACAACAACGATAATAATAACAATAATAATAATGGCTATTTTACATCATCAGCTAAACTTTAAACTTGAGAAACTACATACAAGCTCTCTCCTTCCCTAATTCTTACAGTCAAATTAGCCCACTACTGTCACCAAGCCTTCACTCCATCTCATGAATCACTTCCTCTTCTGCAAATCTTAAGTAAATAATACTCACACCCTTTATCAAGGTATAATAAAGGACAGAAGGAACGTCACAATTGTGGTGAAATATTTTCTTGAAAAAAATACCTCCAATTTATGACAGGCCTGCTATGATCATGATGAATGGGAATGTGTGCATATTCAGCAACTAACCAAAGCTGTGGCAAAATAGGACCTATAAAGGGTTGAAGGAGGATCCATTTTTCAGTATATATATTTATCATCCTGATGCCATAAAAGTTGGTAATAAGAGTGACCCTATTGTGGCACTAATCAGCCATGCCTATTACTAACTCATCCTCTGCTTTTAAAAGACACGGTTTTCCTATTGGAGTTGTTATGAAGCGAGTTTTTCCTATAAATATATAATAGGTTGCCTGGGCTCTATCTTGCCACTTTAAACTGGTGATAATTTTGTGGAGCCACTGATATTCATACAAGTCTGAAGTTGGCTTTTTCTTTATTGTTTTATAATAAGATTTAGCATACCATCAAAAATGTTTGAGGAAACATCTCAGGTTAATTATCTCAAAGAGGTACACATAATTCAATACATTGGTTCCTATGATTAAAACTCTAGTAAAGCCTAACATACATACACTCCAGGAATATGTTTCGACTAGTTTCTTATTTAATAATCAACAGCCTATGACATCTACTTGCTTGCTCTATCCATAATATATGTAGAGGTTTACTGACCATTACCAGGATGTAAAGTATACAGGTCATGGCATCACCTGATGCATGGATCTGCAGTCTCTGATAAGGAACTATGGGTCAATATTTACTTTCTTTAGGTTATTTTCCATTTCTATTAGTTTTTTATTTGTTTCTTATAAATGCTGCATCATACAAATCAACATCAAAAATTCTATTTGTTACACCTAACTCAAAAAATATAAATGTCAGTGACATAACAATTCTAATTATTGTTTACCTTGTTTTATATCCCAAACTGCAATTATGTAAACAATAATCCCTTTCTTACTCAATCTAAATCACTGATAGACCGGAAGCACACAATTCATACATAATTCATATGTAACAGGTTCCTGGAGAACAATAATAATAATAATAGAAAGAAGGAATATAATCTTAGTATGTATGATTTTTTTTTCCCTACACAATAAATCAAAAATATTTTTAATTTTTTGATGTACTACAAGAAAATTTGTCGTTTTTCAGGGACGCATCGTAGCAAGCAACGACAATGTATGGACTTTGATCTGCAAGGAAAGGACATTTATGGTGCGAGTAACAGCAACAATTTTTCCCTTTTCATAGCAATGTTCTAAAGTGATAATAATTAAGTGATAGTTATTCATGTTTGTTTTAAATATGGATTGACTTTCTTTTTTGTTGTGATAGTTATATTGGAATTCAAATATTTGCAAGAAAGAAAACTGGGTATGAGCAGAAATGGTCACAGCTGCAACTCAAGATTGACGTCATTGTGAGCATTTCCATGTTTTCCAACTTGGAGGAACCTCAAAGTTATTAGACTCATTATCGAATAAGGTGAGAAAAGATAAAATAATTGGAGATAATGTAATCCCTAACTGCATTTTATTGAAATAAACATATCTAATATATATACACTCTTGGCCTTCTGTTGAAAGACCAACAGAGTTTTAACCCAATAACGACGGGTGTCCCATATATGAGACACACGAAAAAGTAAACACTGCCGGGCATTCCGCCAGTGTGAAACTGTATCGGGGCTTGCGCTCCGATACAGCAGTGGGCCGTGGCCCACTGCTGTTTTGTAGCCGCCTGGAATGTTTTATTTTCGGCTTCAAAATATACCAGCGGTAATGGGTTAACCAATATTCTATAAAAATAGAGATGATTGGTATCACTGGCAATGTCATCAAATAACCTCAAGCTAGAATAAAAATGGCAGAGTTTGCTTGCTTTGGCCATACTATTACCAGCGTTAGACAACACGCCACTATAATGGTAGTCGCTGTCTACTGCTGCTACTCTTTCTATCTCAAGTATCCCAAGGACATGCAGCTTTCATACCCCATTATTACAGATAACAAAGAGAAAAGCTTAATGAAAGGCTATATGCTAGAAGTAAAGATTGAAACGACACATTCACACGAATTCGACACATACACCTCGCTTTAAAAATCCACTTAAATCCTATTACCCAACCTTGAAACACTCCCACTCACGACCCTATCACTCTAAACCCTAAATCTCAACTGGATCTTACCCGTTTCAAATTATCCCTGGACGCTGGATGGAAAAACTTTTTACACATGTAATTATTGAAACCCTTCCCCATGGTGGCGACTTGTTCTTATTTCTCCGACTTCTTGGGGGAAAGAGAGGCAAACCCGCTGTGTTCTCTTCTTCTCTGATACCTTGGGATACTTTATATATTAGTTACTTCATCGCGGGTTTGCTATTTTCCTGAAAAAGACAGAGAAATGTGGCCTTTGTGGAGAGTGATAATGAATTTCTCTCCCAACGTTTTGTTTACGTGGTGTAGTTCCGAGATTGGCCACCAGATGGGTCTTTGCGATATATAGAAAACGGAATTCAATGTTTCTTTGAGGACAAACTCACGTAGTATTGGTCGTTACTTAAAAAAACGGACTTTATTATTCATTGGAGGTTAAGCTCATGTAACATGTTATTTGATTTAACGATCGTGAGCTTCCAACACAAGGACTTTTTATGAATAGCTTTAATGATAATTATGATAACTATCATCATGATAATAGTATTTTTCCTATCTATCATCTGACATCCGCAGTAGCAACCGTTTTCTATATATAATAACTATAGCCCTATTTTCCGCCGACAAGAACTGCCGTGCTACAGTTTCGTATGACTCCGTCCCTATTTATGGAATTGAATATAAAAATGGAAGAAAATGAGAAGATCTTTAAGGTATCTTTACACAGGTAGTACCATTCAATCTTGATGAAAATTCTAGTTATCAATTTCCAAGCTAAGCCCCGCCTCATCACTTTTATTCGTTGTAAAATGCACACACACACGCGCGCACACACACACACACATAGATTCAGTTATGTATGTTATACTTATGTATGTGAATTATGTATTTCATATATAATGCATTGAGTACAGGTGCAAATACGGTAAGGCGTAAGCGAAGATAAAAATAAAACACGGGAAAAAATAGGAGAGTTTATTGAATAGATTTTTCTTCAGACGACAAAACACCAATACTTTCTCATAATTGATGTATTTTTTGCAAAGATATTTTTCGTATTTAGTTATCTAGATTTGTGGTCATCATGTTTAAACATCATTTGGATTTCAAAGTTTGAATTGAAAAAAAAAAAAAATCGGGTAGAATCAAAATTCTTCACGTTTCCATTTTTAAAAAGTTCCTACAATTCAATTCTTTTCATATCTAACTTTTCTATCCAACAGATGGAAATAATTTAACAAATAGTTTAGACATGTAGCTTGTTAAACGCAGTAGCAAATTTGTATTCCTAAGGCATCTTTTCCAGCGCTTCCGGGAAACGCTACACCTCTTGCGCGAGAGGAATAGAGCAGACGGTTAACTTTAATCAAGTTGCCAGATGCATTCCTCCTACTTCGGATATTTCATGCATATTCGTACTTATATTGGATATCTTTAACACCGCACTACCCCCCTTAAGATATCAAAAGCCATCTTGGATATCATATTCCAAAATATTGTGTACCTGTCGGAAAAATAACCAGTACAGTAAAATAACAAGCCGTTAACCGCGATCATTCCCATTACGTCACAGAAATGGGCGGAGCTTAGAGGCCTGTCTCGCCTCTGATCACGAGACAGCTTTTGGCGACACTCTAATTGCTACCGGAAAAGATGCCTCTAGTCTCGGGAGCTTTGATGACGTCACAAGAGGCGGGCTGGTCAATGTTGCTAACATATCTGATGCGGAAATGACCGTTATTTCGCCAGGGTTGTTTGATTTTCCGTTATTTTGTTAAACGGGCGACGGCAGGGATGTGGCGGAAGACTGACGTCAAGTAAAGCAAATTTGAAATGGAAGCCTATTAGCTGAAGCCTGAATATTCAGATGCTCTAGCTAACGTGGACGTGGAATTTGATGGCAGTGATTCAGAGCAGAATAACAAGGGGAAGAGAGAACACAAAGAAAAGAAGGAAAGAGAGAGATAGATAAATAGATAGAGAGAAAAATGCATGAGAAATAAAGAGAGGGAAACAGAAAAAGGATAAATTAATATGTGGATATAAGAAAAGCAAATAAATAAGTGAGAGAGAGAGAGAGAGACAGTGGCAGAAAGAAATCTGGAAGAATGGCATATTATATATAAAAAGAGGAAATGGGGACGAGCCTATGGTGACGTCATAAACTTTCCCGCGCTTTTTTGAAAATTTGACTGTGTTGTGGAAGAGAGACTCGGAATTCGTATGCCGTCAAAAATACTTATGAGATTAGATTATTATTATTATTATTATTATTATTATTATTATTATTATTATTATTATTATTATTATTATATTTACTCATATGATTCCAAAACGTAAGTTTCGGTAGGTGAATGAGATTTGCCTCTCGACTTTGGCCACCATCTTCAATATCTGTGATATTTGTAGACAAGATATTCTTACATATACATGTTTCTGAATAACTTCAGTGGTCGGTTTCGACTACATCTATCTTTTGCACCGTAAAAATATTCTTTCTCAATCACACTTAGTCCACATTTGTCGCAAAGGAAAACGTTTCATCTAAATTATTTAATTGCACTGGCATCCTTGTAGCTTTTAGATTTTTCATATTTTTCTTTTTCCTTTATATTCATTCGCTATTTCTCTTCCCTGGCCTTTCGACAGCATATCCTGTAACCAAAATATATCATCAATATAAAAAATTCAAACTAGCTCTATCATTTTCATTAGGTTAACAGGCATATTCGTTTCATATTTCTACCATGCTTTCTTTTTCTTTAGACTTCCGCTTGGTGAATCTATATTACGTGAAATTTAAAACTCTTCATTAAATAGTTATTTCTGGTTTGATCGTCAACAATTAATTCCTTACAGTTTTAATTAACATGATTTTTTTTTCTTTTTTTCCTCTTTTCTTTTTCTCTTTTCCTTCTTTTTTTAAATATTTTCTTTTTTCTTTCTTTTTTCTTTTTCTCTGTCTTTTTTTCTTTTTTTTACTGTTTCTTTTCTCTTGTTAAAAGTTAAATTCCTTGTCTGTTAAGTCCTTTTTCTTGTTTCATGCGTGGAATCTTGAGAAATTCATGTTATTTCCTGTATTTCGTTCGTGTGTTCACTTGCAAAAGAGAATTTTATTTTTGAAATCATTTTCGGTTGATTTTGTAACGGTCTTCGATATTTAAATTGATAACGGAAATTCAAATTCACGGGTAAAAGAGATTGTATCTTCGATGAAAGACCGTTATTTTTTTTTCATTAGTCATGCTGCATTTTTGATTTTTTTTCTTTGGTGTTGATTTTATTTTTTTTTTTTCAAATCCTATTTTTGTCTTTCACTGTGCAGTGTAATGCACGCTTACTTACAAACACACACGTACACACACACACAAACACACTAACATACACACACACACAAACACACGCACTAACACAGACAGATGCACTAACACACACACACACAAACAAGCACACAACACACACTAACACACACACAAACAACACCCCCCACACAACACACATGCACACACACACACACGCACTAACACACACACAAACAAGCACCCCCCCCACACACACACACAAACACCCACCTACGCACACACACACAATTACCCCCCCCCCCACCACCACC